GAATATGTGGGAATCAGTCTGCCTGTGTTTCATCTCTTGGCTGTAAACACAGATAGTAAATGCTGTGGTTAGGGGTGGGATTCATCAGTACAGCTCCCTAATCACTGTGTTAAAAGTAAAATATAAGGTGCTTAGAGAAACACAAGAGCAGCAAAGGGAAGGAAGGAAAATTCACTAACGGGCTGAATGTAGTTTCCGCCTTTTGCTTAGAAAAGAGTCAATGAAACAGTTGCGGACAAGATGCATCGGACACATATAAACACGCACAATCACGTGACAATATGCGTTTTGTGCATCTGCTGCACAGCACAAAATGCATTAAAAGTGCTAGAGAAAAAAGTACTTTGAAATTAAATTCAGATCGCAATTCTGCACGCAGTATTAGTTAAGAAATCGAACGCCTACTGAAGCATGGGCCAGCCCAAACAAATCGCAAAACTGATAAGTAAAAAACAAGAAATATTTAAGAGATTACAATGCTGAATGATTGGAAACCAACTTTTAGTTAGTAAATCACATTGGGCCAAGCGTTCAATCTTTTCCTCATGCCCGCTTATCTTGTGCCTCAGTCTGCGCGCTTCCTGCATGTACTTGCTCTGAAATCAAACCTGCTCTACTAACAATTTTTCACGCAAAGAAAAAAAAGAATAATTGGCCAACGCACGAGCTGTCCGTAAGAAAATGTGTTTCTTGCATAGTTCGCCGCAGTCTTCATCGCTATCTGCACCGGTTTTCCCGGCAAATGCTTCTCACTAAACAAATTAGGAAACAACCCCCTAAAATTTCAGCTTTCTAGCTTTCCTGGCTCCTGAGTTAGCAATTTACTCGAAGAAAACTTTCACGGGCCCGTACGTGGGTACCACGCATACCTGATGTCTGGGTTTGAGCTCGTTGAGACTTACTAGAACAGGGAATATCCTCTTAAAATTTCAGCCTTTCAGTTTTTCAGGTTCCCGACTTAACAACTTACCCGAAAAAAATTTTGGCGGGCCCGAACATGGGTACTACGAGGGTAAAAGCACCCATTTCGGAGATGGCGGCTCGTACATACAAATAGATTACGCTCTCCAAGTTTCATCCCGCAGCTTTTGTGGATCGACATGAAAAATCGCTACAGACG